ACGATTAAGAAAAAAAGGAGGGGGGAACGATTAAAAAAATAGTTTCCCACACCGGGGGGAACGCACAGAAGCAGGGCTCGCCTGTGCGGTGTTTCGTCACCGGGGGGGGCACGCGCCCGAGGACGGCGGGAGGGGGGGGGGGGGCGATTAGAAAAATAGTTTCCCAGCCCGGGGCCGGTTTTTCTAATCATCATCCCGGGCGCCGCCGCGTGAACACGACCCTCGGTCATTATTTTATCATCACCCTCCATTAAGAGGCCCCCCCCGCCCCCCGGACGGTGGCGCGCAATGCCGGCCGGCGACCGAGACCTGCACCGAAGCGAAGTGGTGGCAGCTGCACTTCTTGGGGCGGAAGCGCCCGCTCACGAGCCCGAGCTCCGACGCGGAGGCCCCCCACGCGCACCCTCATTGTGGGGCTCGTCGATCGCCGAGCGCGCCGCCGGACGCCCCCTCTGCGCCTGGCCGGAATCCAACGAGCGTCTGCCTGCAGCACGCGCGAGGCAGAAATCTGCCGCAGCTGGCTGACTGCGCCTCCTCCGCGCGCGCCCCGCCTGCCCCGAAGCCATGCTTCCACCGTGGGGGAATTTAGCTGGTCCTTCATGGGAGCCTCTTTGACGCCAGCAGCGCCCGAACATGCCATGGATGTTGACCGGATTTGGCCCTGATTCTGACCACAACGCTGTCCCGCGCCGATGGCTCGCAACTCGCGCAACCCACTCCGAGGCCGCCCTGCCCCGAAGCGGCTGCGCGCGCCGGCGCGCCATCTCAAGAGCACGATCCTCAGAGCGGCCTGGGCGTCCTCGGGGCGAAGAGCGCTCTTCTGCCCAAGCCAGGGGGAGGAGGAGGAGGAGGAGGAGGAGGAGGAGGAGGAGGAGGAGGAGGAGGAGGAGGAGGACGCACTCCGCTTCGCCGGCGAGGTCGCCGACCTCCTGCCTCTCGCGCCGGTGGCCGCGCCCCCGGACTCCACGACACCACCGCCCCGCCGCGGCGGCCGGCCGGGGGCACAATACCTCGACAAGGGCGGCCAGGTCCATGCCAGACACGCAGCACATGAAACCGAGCTCTGACGATTCGTGGAGGTCGGAGCGCACAATACACTCGCACGTGGATCTGCACGTCGCGCAGAGCTGGAGCCGTGAAGCTGCAGACGGGACATGCTAAGCTCGCCTCCGGGGGCCCACAGTAACTGAGACCGCGATGGTAGACGTTCTCCCGGCAAGACCGCATCACGCGCCGCCGAGAGATTTCCCTGGGGCCGAGGGGATGATGATGATGATGATGATGATGAGGAGGAGGAGGAGGAGGAGGAGGAGGAGGAGGAGGAGGAGGAGGAGGAGGAGGAGGAGGAGGAGGAGAGGGGGAAGGAGGAGGAGGAGGAGTCAACAAGAAGGAAGAGGAGGAGGAGGAGGAGGAGGAGGAGGAGAAGGAGGAAACAAGGAGGAAGAGGAAGAGGAGAAGGAGCAGGAGGAGGAGGAGGGGGAGCCCACGCCACTAGAGGTGTCCCCAATCCACCCGCCTGGGCCGCACCGTCGGCGCCGCCTGCGGCCATCGCGGGGCCTGCCCCCACGACCGCGCCGAAGATGCCCAAAGGCCCAGAGGAGAAGCCGAGATCGTCGCCAAAGCCGGCCCCCGAAGTGACGGGACCATTTAAGTCCGCGAACAGACGAAAGTCACGCTCGAGGAAGACCGCCTGCTTGAGGACCGCCTTCGGGTCAAGATCCAGCCTGGCGGTGGCGATCGGCCTGGCGGTGTGCGGGAAGCTGTCCGCATGCTCCCTGACAGCCATTAAAGTAATCGTCCACCGATGCATGGGATTGGATTGAACGAGTTGTGAAGCAACTGCATCGTGCTCTCACCTCTGAGTCTGCAGTCCGGCACTTTGCGAAGCTTGGGCAGCCTTCCACGAACCACTCAAAGGGCCTCCACGTTAAACAAACATCATCGGGTACTGGGCCATGTTGTTCACGAGCGCAGCAAAGACCAGCGGGAAATACGTCACAAGTGGAGCCCGCAGCCGCCATCGATGTGGTGCTAGTCTTGGTTATGGTCCGCGTTCGTGCCAGTCTTTCTCGGAGCTGTGGGAGTCGCTGTAGGTGTGACAGCTTGGGGGGATGGCACGGCTCGTAGTTTGTTCAGCGAGGCTTCGATGACCCGAAGGGACACGTTCTCCAGCAGGGCCCCGAGGTCCAGCAAGGCCCCGCGGCCCCTCGCGGACCCGACGGTCAGCACACTGTTCGTGTTCAGCGAGGCCCCGCTGTGCAGGGACTCGTTCTCTAGCGAGCCAGCGTGGTCCTGTTGGTCACCGCGTAGTTCTTGTTCGAAGAGGTCCTGATGTCTGGCAGGGTCAAGCTTTCCAGCGAGGTCCTGGAATCTAGCACGGTCCCGTTGCCCATCGCCAAGCTCTTGCTCCGCGAGGTCCCGTTGTCCAGCAGGGCACCGACCAGGAGGGGCAGCAGAAGGAGACGCCGCACGAGAAGGCGCAGGTAGACCAGGTAGAAGTTGCACTTGAGGTTGTACCTGGGGCGAAGCCCGACACCACGGGCTCGCACTCCTCGGAGCGGCTCGCCGCCTGGAGGAACGAGCACGCCGATGCCCAACAAGATTCCTGAACGAAGCACGAGCACCTTGCGGAACTCCATGTGCTACGCGCGGGCCACTTCATCAGCCATCTCCATCACAAAGAGGAACCTGATCGCCAACGCCACCAACGCCGAATGCACGGCATCGCCTCCAAGACGGGTAAAGAGGTCCAGGGAGAGCGGCACGAGCCTGAAGAGCATCCGCAGGAGCGACACCAGCACCGGCAGCGGGACGCGTGCGAGCCTGGACAAGCCCGCCGACACCACCAACAGGCAGTGGGAGTTTTGACCATCTGGCGGAAGAAGATCGGGTCGATGACCGCAGGCACCTGGAAGACCAGAACCAGGCATAGGACCACCGGGAGCGCCACGAGCAGCGGCAGCGGGACATGAAGGAACAGCACGCAAAAAAAAATCACCACGGAGAGCCAGACCTGGCCCGCCACCGCCACGAGCAGGCGGCGGAAGTTGAGCAGCAGGCTCGGGGCGACGATCGGGTCGAGCACAGCCAGCACGCACTTCGAATAGCGACAGCTCGATCTCGAAGTCCATTGTTGTATGCAGTCTGTTTCGGGTCAGATGCGTCCCAACCAGAAGCACCATCGTGCATGTGCACCACCGGCGCGAGGCCAGCGGCTGGAGCCGCACCACGGAACGCCGACGGGAACAGGACAGGCAAGTCGGCGAGATGCGGAAGCGCGGGCATCCACGAAGGCGAAGAAGGCCGGATACACTCGTCAAGACGAAGCGCATATTGGAGAGGCGGCAGAGCAGCATCCGCAGCGAGAAGAGATACCCTGTGCTTAGCGCGCCCTGACGCAACATTTTCCTGCAGCAGCTTCTTCCGCTACTGCGCGGCAGCAGCGACCGCATCGCGGAGGAGATGAGCCAGAAACCCAGTAGATGATGAGGCGCGAGCACAGCAGCGTACCGATGCAGAAGAGCGCTTTGCTACACATGCTGGCGACGCAGCGCTCGGAGGCGTCGAGCCTCTCGAGGGCCAGCACTTCTCGAGTGCACAAGCGCATTGCACAGACTCCACCCTACCAGCAGGGGCATGGAGGCGCCACTATCGACATGCAAGAAAGCTTGGAGCGCGTGCGCGGGGCCCTCCACCAGCCAGCACTCTTGAGCCAAAATGGCTACAGAGAGGAGGAGGAGGAGGAGGAGGAGGAGGAGGAGGAGGAGGAGGAGGAGGAGGAGGAAGAGGAGGAGGAGGAGGAGGAGGAGGTCAGACCAGTGTACACCCAGGACACACCAACGACATTGCAAGAAATCCTCCCTTCAAAGTCTCTCTTCACAAGCCCCTGCACGGATACATTTTCACTGAGGGAACTGCCCAGTTGAAAAACTCCCGTTTGAAAATCTGGATTATGCGAGAACGCAATTCCTGGAACATCAGCGCCGCGAATCACCGCTACTGTTGCGTCTTGAAGATCCTGAACCGTGCCAGCAAACCATTCCTGGGACTTCGACATCGTGCCGAAACGCAATTCCTGGGACGTTCACCATGAGAATCCTGAAAACTGCTGCGAACTCTGAAGACGAACGTGCGCGGCGCTAAAACGAGAACCGCATTTTGAAAAGGAACCGCCCTCCATCCGTGAAGCTCCTGCACACGTTCCAAACGAATATGCGCGGCGCTAAGGCGAGCGCCACATTTTGGAAACAGGTCACCCTCCATCGGTGAAGCTCTTGCAAACATTTTGATAAGGAGTCGCCCTCCATCCGTGAAACTCTTGTCCAACCTCTAAGACAAATGCACGCGGCGCTAAGGCGAGCGCCACATTGTGAAAACATGCCGCCCTCCATACGTGAAGCTCTGGCATGTTTGAAGACTCGTGCGCGCGGCGCTCAAGCGAGAACCGCAATTTGAAAACGGGCCGCCCTTCATCCGTGAAACTCTGGCAAATCTTAAGCTTCAGGATCATAACTCGAGAAGAGGGCTCAGGCAAAACGCCTGGCCTACCCGTTCGACCAGCCTCGGACTGGGACGGGGAGGAACCTTCTACACGGAGCAGGGATGGAGGCCGCAAGAATAGAAGGAGGCAAGAGGAGGCAGGAGAAGGGGGAGCGGAAGGAGGCAAGAGGAGGCAGGAGGAGGGGGAGGGGGAGGAGGCAAGAGAAGGCAGGAGGAGGGGAAGGGGAAGGGGGAGGGGGGAGGAGAGGAGGATGAGGAGGAGGAGGAGGAGGAGAGGAGGAGGAGGAGGAGGAGGGGAGGAGAGGAGGAGAGGAGGAGGAGGAGGAGGAGGAGGAGGAGGAGGAGGAGGAGGAGGAGGAGGAGGAGGAGGGAGGAGGAGGAGGAGGAGGAGGAGAAGAAGGAGTCGGAGGAGGAGGTGGAGGAGGAGGCAAGATGAGGCAGGAGGAGGGGGAGGGAGCATGGCGGCGGGCGGCCGCGAGCGCTTTCGCAGCGCGGCGTGCCCGCGGCGCGCGCGGGAGGCCGCGCCCTGTGCCCCGCCCGCGCCCCGCCGAGCGGGCCTCACGCGGGTGCCCCCGCCGGGGAGGCCGGCCGGCCTGCGCGGGGAGGCCGCGCAGCGCACGCGCGGCGGGGCTCCACGTGCGGAGCGCCCCTCGGATCCGAACCCTATAGATCCCCTGTGAGAACTTTTTGCTCGTTGCTTAAAAAAGAAAATTGTCAAAATCCCGGAAAGAGTTGTTGACAACAAATAACAAAACGCATAGTTAATTACGCTACCGAGGAACCCCACATACTTAACTTAAATCTTGTGTGTTTGCTTAAGTTTAAAATACATGCGCAATTCTGCGTTCTCAGCCCTCGTCGCGAATGTTCCCCTATGTGTCATCCAACGCCATATAGCTTGAACCTCCTCCCTCTTCCTAGCCTTCTATCCTTCGTCGAAGACAGATTCGAGCCAGCCAGCGGCCACGGTGAGGGACCACCCCCTGCGCAGCCCCTATGGTGTCGAGAAAATGCCGCGCCTGCTATGCCCTGGACGACCGTCGTGCATGGCGGCCGCGCTGAGGGACCACCCTCTGCGCCCCCCCTGTGGTGTCGAGAAAGTGCCACGCCTGATATGCCCTGGACGACCGTCGTGCATAGCGGCCGCGCTGAGGGACCACCCTTTGCGCACCCCCTGCGGTGTCGAGAAAGTGCCATTCCTGCCACGATCTGCGAGCGTGTCACGGATAGAGGCCGCGCTGAGGGACCACCCTCTGCGCTCCCCCTGTGGTGTCGAGAAAGTACCACTCCTGCCACGATCTGCGAGCGTGTCACGGATAGAGGCCGCGCTGAGGGACCACCCTCTGCGCACAGTGCCACCTCTGCGAGCGTGTCACGCCCTGTGCGCACCCCCTGTGGCGTCGAGAAAGTGCCACTCCTGCCACGATCTGCGAGCGTGTCACGGATAGAGGCCGCGCTGAGGGACCACCCTCTGCGCACCCCCTGTGGCGTCGAGAAAGTGCCACTCCTGCCACGATCTGCGAGCGTGTCACGGATAGAGGCCGCGCTGAGGGACCACCCTCTGCGCACCCCCTGTGGTGTCGAGAAAGTGCCACTCCTGCCACGATCTGCGAGCGTGTCACGGATAGAGGCCGCGCTGAGGGACCACCCTCTGCGCACCCCCTGTGGCGTCGAGAAAGTGCCACTCCTGTCACGATCTGCGAGCGTGTCACGGATAGAGGCCGCGCTGAGGGACCACCCTCTGCGCCCACCCTGTGGTGTCGAGAAAGCGCCACTCCTGCCACGATCTGCGAGCGTGTCACGGATAGAGGCCGCGCTGAGGGACCACCCTCTGCGCACCCCCTGTGGTGTCGAGAAAGTGCCACGCCGGCCACGCTCTCCGACCCTGGCACGCATAGAGGCCGCGCTGAGAGACCACCCCTTGCGCACCCCCTATGGTGTCGAGATAGTGCCACGCCTGCCATGCCTTGCGTGCTTGTGTGTGTGTGGGTGCTATGCTGTGCTGTGCTGTGCTGTGCTGTGCTGTGCTGTGCTGTGCTGTGCTGTGCTGTGCTGTGCTGTGCTGTGCTGCGGTGAGCTGTGCTGTGCTGTGCTGTGCTGTGTGCTGTGCTGAGCTGTGCTGTGCTGTGCTGTGCTGTGCTGAGCTGAGCTGAGCTGTGCTGTGCTGTGCTGAACTGAGCTGTGCTGAGGAAGGAGAAAGAAGGAGAGGGAGGAGAAGGAGAAGGAGAAGGAGACGCGGTTGAGACGCGGAAGGGAAGAAAACCAGAACCCCACGAAGCATGTGGGGAACAACTTTCAAAGTTACCCCTGACACAACAAAATGTTAACATCCGCGAAGCAAAAAGTTAACATGGAGTTCATGTTTGACACGTGTTGAACCAGAATATGTGTTGCAATTATGTTGCAGTTTTGTTGCAGTTTTGTTTCGGTTTCATCAAAACTGCAACAAGTAAAAATACACACAAAGAACTGGAGTCCCCATATTTTCCCATATTTTCTGGGTGTTTTCGTGTCTCCCTCCCCTCTTCCCATGCTTTCCCCTGTTTTTGTTCTGGGGGTCGACGATTCATTGTGTCTGTGTTTTTTTCCCTCCCGAGGGTCCGACGGGGAGCGCCAACCGGGCGACGATCAAAAGCGGCGGGTCTTGCGCGGGACGGCGCAGCGACCCTACGCGGCGGCTGACGCGGGCCGCCGGCGCGGCACGCGGCATCGAGGGCGAGGGCGCCCACTCGCGACCTTGCACGGGCCGCTTGCGCGCCAATGTCGGCGCGGAAGACACCCTTTTTGTTGCGTCGCCCAACTGGCCATCGCTCGGACGTCCATTCCCTATGTTTTTTTCGATTTCGTGCGAGATTTTTTCGCCAAATGGTCGAGGATGCTCCTCGATCTCGCCGAAGGAAAAATGCGCACGTCCGAGCGATGCCAAGCCAACTGGATGTGCACAAGCACTGGCCCTGGCCGGGCCGATCCGGGGCCCAGGATACGAGGCGGGGATGTATCCATATCCACCGCATGGGATCCGACGTCCTGGCGGCCCAGCGGGCGGCGGATACGGATATATTTGTGCCCCCGGGGGGCCCGAATATATCCAAATCCACCGCCTGCCGAGGTCGCCGAAAAATGATCCTCCAGGTTGTGGTCACGTCAGAGTGAGGGGGCCGAACGGTCATTCATTGTCCCTGCGTGGGTGGCTGAATAAGGAATTCGTGGTGAGAATTCTGCTTGTTACGTTGTTGAACATTATTAATTCTAAAGAATAATTATTGTTGGGACCCCTGGTGCACGGCCCCCCTGCGCCGCCTAGGCCGCAGCTACATTTTCATCATTTTCGTGAGGAAGCCTCAGGTAATTCGATGTGATCAAGATCCGGTTGTTTTGTTCCCCCCCGCTTTCCCTTGCAAAAAACACTATAAAATGACATTTCTTGTTCTAATATAATCAAATTTCAAGAATCCCTTGCAAAAAATAAGGTAAAGTGGACATTCGCGCGCGCAAGACGAAATCCTTCCAAAAGCTTAGTGTTCGGAGCGATTTTAACATAAAAACATCAAAAAACCAATGGTTTTTCAACAAAAAAATGTCAAAATCTCATCCCGCGCGCTCTTGCGGATTCGTAGGAAACCCAACACTTTTTAAACATTTCTGTCAAACGGGCTTTTGCGAGCAACTTTTTCGAACTTCTGCGACAACGGTTGCGCACCTGCCAGGGCCATCATCCCTGTCAAATAATACCATGCGGGACACATTCGTTTTTTCTTCGCGCGCGCACGCCGAAATCTCCAAAAACCGTGGAATATGCAACAGATGTTCTGTGGAAGGCTTAACAACTTCTGTGGGTTCACAAGGCTTAACAACTTCTGTGGGTGTACGAACGTAGGCTTAACAACTTCTGTGGGTGTGTACTCCACGCCAGTGTAGTAGCCACGGTCGTCCGCAGGCCACGAAGTGAAGTGTCCGAACGTCATAGGGCGGGAAGCTGGGTGTGGGTGGTGGCGAAGAGTCGTGTGGATATTTGGTAGAGCTTGCACTGCCCCCCCACAAAGTGGGGGTATTGGCTGGCGTCGCATGAAAACCCTGGCACTGGTGAGAACACTGAGCGTTCGGGTAAAGTGATTGCTGTTGTTGTTGGTGGTGGTGTTGGTGGTGGTGTTGGTGGTGTTGCTGTTGTCGATGTTGGTGTTGGTGTTGTTGGTGTTGCTGGTGTTGGTGTTGGTGTTGTTGTTGTCGTTGCTGTTGCTGCTGTTGATGTTGATGCTGTTGTTGGTGGTGTTGTTGCTGTTGGTGGTGGTGGTGTTACTGCTGTTGTTGGTGGTGGTATTGCTGTTGTTATTGGTGTTGTTGTTGGTGTTGTTGGTGTCGTTGTTGGTGTTGTTGTTGCTGTTGTTGTTTGATGTCGTCGTCCCACCCACGACCCACCCGCGACCCACCCCGCGACCCACCCCGCGACCCACCCCGCGACCCACCCGCAACACACCCGCGACCCACCCGCATCCCACCCCGCGACCCACCCTCGTTGTTGTTGTTGTTGGTGTTGTTGCTGTTGTTATTGTTGTTGGTGGTGGTGTTATTGGTCTTGTTGTTGTTGGTGGTGTTGTTGGTGTTGTTGTTGGTGTTTGTATTGTTGGTGGTGATGTTGTTGCTGTTGTTGTTGGTGTTGTTGTTGGTGTTGGTGTTGGTGTTGATGTTGGTGTTGGTGTTGTTGGTGGTGGTGTTGTTGTTGTTGCTGTTGTTGTTGGTGTTGTTGTTGGTGTTGTTGTTGCTGGTGTTGTTGTTGCTGGTGCTATTGTTGTTGTTGGTGTTGAAGTTGTGGTTGTGGTTGTGGTTGTGGTTGTTGTTGTTGTTGCTGTTGTTGTTGTAGTTGTTGTTGTTGTTGTTGTTGTTGGTGTTGGTGTTGGTGTTGTTGTGGTTGTGGTTGTGGTTGTGGTTGTGGTTGTGGTTGTGGTTGTGGTTGTGGTTGTTGTGGTTGTTGTGGTTGTTGTTGTTGTTGTTGCTGTTGTTGTTGTTGTTGTTGTTGTTGTTGTTGTTGTTGTTGTTGTTGTTGTTGTTGTTGTTTGTTGTCGTCGTCCCACCGGCGACCCACCTCGCGACCCACCTCGCGACCCACCCCGCGATCCACCCCGCGACCCACCCCGCGACCCAGCCGCGACCCACCCCGCGACCCACCCCGCGACCCACCCACGACCCACCCCGCGACCCATTCGCAACCCATCCGCGACCCACCTGCAACCCACCCGCGACCCATCCGCAACCCACCCCGCGACCCACCCTCAAGGGAGGAAAAAACACCCTGACCGGACAATTGACGTTTACTAAACGGCCCTGGGCGTTGACTAAACAGCCCTGCCCTGTTCGATTCATTCCTTGTGTGCGTTTACTAAACAGCTTCGCTTGTCGGGGTGATTATTATGGGGTGGATCGTCTGCCCTCTACACCCGCGACCCAACAGCGACCCACCCGCGACCCATTCGCGACCCACCCGCGACCAACCCACATTGGCTCAACGAAAAAATCGGCGCCTGCGGCGGGCTCTTTGTAGAAGTTGTGAAACTCTGGCGCCTGCGGCGGGCTTCTCCAGAGTCTCGCAAATTGCCGACGTCCCCACCGCCCCCTCACTCTTATCCGCATCTGCGAGGTGCGAATTACGTATCAATTCTTGCCTCGGACAGGATCGGTGCATGGGCAAAGCCAGGAGGGGGCATGCGCCGATCCTGTGGGCGCAGGAGCGGCCTGTCCGGGCCCGATGCGGGCCCGGGGAGTTGGCGGTCTGCCGATCCGGGGCGTCGTGAAGGACCCCCACGGGCGCATGCGCCCCGCCCTGGGCCCCGGGACCTCGCGGATCGATGCGGCTCGGAGACTGCCGCGCAAAGACCACGGACATGCGATGTCTTGATCATCCGGAGGTGTCGGGTCCTCAGACGCCATGCGTCACTCCTTCCACCGCCCGCTCCTTCTCCCCTTCCACCCTCCTCCCGTCCGTGACCCTGCCCTCCGCATGTCCGTGTCGGGACACCTCTCAGACCTGTCGTGCCCCCACAGGGCACCACCCGCATGTCGTGCCGGCACACCCCTCAAACCTCTCAACCGTCCCCACCACCCATTCGGCACACCCATTACGCGTTTCGTGACCCCAGCGGGAGGTTCCACCGAAGGCCCCAGCGGCAGGGCTCGCATGGCGCACCCGCCCCCCATTCTGCACACCCCTCACGCGTTTCGCGCACACCTCGCAGGGAGCTCAACCGAAGGCCCCAGCGGCAGGGCTCGCATGGCGTACCCGCCCCCAACTTGGCGCACCCCTTTAATGCGCTTCGTGGACCAGGAGGGAGCTCCACCGAAGGCCCCAGCGGCAGGGCTCGCATGGCGCACCCACCCCCCAAGCGGCACACCCCTCACACGTTTCGTGGCCCCGTGGAGAGCTCCAACGAAAGCCCCAGAGGCAGGGCTCGCATGGCGTACCCGCCCCCAACTTGGCACACCCCTTGCGCGTTCCGTAAACCCGATTGTAGGGCTCGCGTGGCGCACCCGCCCCCAAATGCGGCACACCCTTCACGCGCTGCGTGGCCCGGCAGAGGGGTTCACCGAAGGCCCCAGCGGCAGGGCTCGCATGGCGCACCCGCTCCCAACTTGGCGCACCCCTTTAATGCGCTTCGTGGACCAAGAGGGAGCTCCACAGAAGGCCCCAGCGGCAGGGCTCGCATGGCGCACCCGCCCCCCAAGCGTCACACCCCTTTCACGTTTTGCGTGGCCCGGCAGGGAGCTCAACCGAAGGCCCCGGCGGCAGGGCTCGCATGGCGCACCCGCCCCCAACTTGGCGCACCCCTTTAATGCGCTTCGTGGACCAGGAGGGAGCTCCACCGAAGGCCCCAGCGGCAGAGCTCGCATGGCGCACCCGCCCCCCAAGCGGCACACCCCTCACACGTTTCGTGGCCCCGTGGAGAGCTCCAACGAAAGCCCCAGATGCAAGGCTCGCATGGCGCACCCGCCCCCAACTTGGCACACCCCTTGCGCGTTCCGTAAACCCGATTGTAGGGCTCGCGTGGCGCACTCGCCCCCAAATGCGGCACACCCTTCACGCGCTGCGTGGCCCGGCAGAGGGGTTCACCGAAGGCCCCAGCGGCAGGGCTCGCATGGCGCACCCGCTCCCAACTTGGCGCACCCCTTGAATGCGCTTCGTGGACCAAGAGGGAGCTCCACAGAAGGCCCCAGCGGCAGGGCTCGCATGGCGCACCCGCCCCCCAAGCGTCACACCCCTCACACACTTTTTGCATGGCCCGGCAGGGGGCTTCACCGAAGGCCCCAGCGGAAGGGCTCGCACGGCCCACACGCCCCCCCTTCGGCACACCTCTCATGCGTTCCGTGGCCCCGCAAGGAGCTCCACCGAAGGCGCCAGCAGCAGGGCCAGCATGGCGGAGCAGCCCCAAATTCGGCACACTCCTCACCCGTCTCGTAGGGAACACATTTCGTGGCCCCTAGGGCCATAGGGAGTTCTCCTTCCTTTGTCCCACTTGCCTTGCGGTGCTCACGCCTGCATATGGTTGGGTCCGCGGTCCCTGGAAGTGCCGACCCTGTCCCCAGGGCTGGTGTTTTTCATCCCGACCCGTTTTGGTGACGGCCCCGTGGCTCAGCAAGGGCCCCCAGAGGCCGGAAACTACCAAAGAACTTCCGTCGTGACTTTCTCACGATGAGGAACGAACAACACACACCCATACCCATAGGAGGGTCGGAGGAAGGAGGACTGGCTATGGGTAAGGGTGCGGGTTGTCGGACCCTTGGGGAGGCTCCCGTTCGAGCGGGGACCCCGATCCGACAACACGCACCCATAGCCCCCTCCGTCCCCCCTATGGGCATGGCTGCGTGATGTTCGTCCGTCACACGAAGCATTGTGTGGGATGGGGTCGCCAGCTCTGGGCGTGGCTTTACGCTTCGCTGTCATGTTGCACCTCGGGGAGGCCAGGCGCCGAATCCACGCGCGACGGGCCTTTGGGGCCCAGCTGCACGCGGGCCGAGCGCGGAGAGACACGCGCCAAGCGAATTCACTGGTTTGGCCCGCTGAACCTGGTGTTAAGTCGGGCGCGCCCCTCTACAAGAGGAATACTCAGACATGGTATGTCTTTATTACTTTTGCACACATGTTTGACTGTTTGTTTGTTTCTCTTCCAAAACCCGCCTGTGGGAGGACTTGCCAGACCTAAACCTTGCGCATCACGCTTCCTGGCAAGGGCCAGGAGAGGACAGGGATCGACCAAACGGGCCCTCCGCCGCGCTGAAAGAGCCGCAGAACGACAGGGGACTGGCCAAGCTCGAAGTGCACGTGGGTCTCTGAAGGATCCGCCTGACTGTTCCTGCCCCCCCTCCGGGACCTCTGGCTTCGTGCTTCTGGCTCCATCCTCGGGGCTCTGGCAGAGAACGAAGCACGCCCAAAACAGAAGCATCCGGAACTCCGCGCGCTCGCGCAGGTCCCAGAGATCAGTGCGGAGCTCCAGGGGGGTACTCTTTGACGAACGAGCAACACACACACCCATACCCATAGGGGGGTCGTTGGGAGGAGGACTGGCTATGGGTATGGGTGCGGGTTGTCGGACCCTGGGGAACGCTCCCGTTCGAGCGGGGACCCCCATCCGACAACACGCACCCGTAGCCCCCTCCGACCCCTCTGTGGGTAACTATGGGTGTGTGCTGTCGGCTCGTCGCTCTTGTGCTGCTTGCTTGCTGTCCCTGGCTCTGGAGCACTCGACCCCGCCCGGCCTCAGCACGGGCCTCGCACCGTGGGCCGTCTGCTGCGGGCCCCCGCGGGCCCGAGGCCCGAGGGCAGCCTCCGGCAGCCTCGAGCTCGCTCGGCGGCGCCGGCTGCCCCGCTCCGGGCGCGCCGCGGGCCCTCCCCCAAGGGGCGCCCCGCCTCCGCTCTCGAGAGAGAGACTCGGCCCACGTGCGCCGCCCGGGCCGATGCTTCCCAGAGGGGCGGCGAGAACGGCTCCGGACCCGCGCCCTCGCGGCCTGGGTTCTGGGGCGCGGTCCGCGGAGACGCGGTCGAACGACTGCGTGCCGCGCGGGCATCCGCGGAAAAAGCGCCCCGTATCCGTTGGGTCGCGGAGCAGTGGCCCCGCTCGTCAGCCCCTCGTCGGGGCCCAGGCTCGAAAGCGCTGGCCTTCCTGATGTTTTCTTGTAGGAGGCACGTCGCAAAAATAAAAACCTTCGAGGTCCGCGCGGATGTCTTGGATCGGAGCTGGGCTCCTCCTTGGCGCGCGAGAAGCGCCAGGGGCGGCGCTGTAGGCGCCCCAGGAGGCCCCAGCGCAGTCCAAGAAATCAGCGCGGAGCTCCGGAAATTTATGTTTATGCCGTGGTTGGGCCACGCGCAGAGGGGGGTCGGGGGGAGGGGGGAAGGCTTCTCAGAAGGAGGCTGTGTCCTCAGAAGGTGCTGGCCTTCCAGCTATAGATGGGGCCAGCGCCTTCTGAGAAGCACCCTCCTTCCTTTAAGAAGCCTTCCCCCCTCCCCCCTACACCCCCCTCTTCTCGACGCCGACGGTTGGTCTTCGATGTTGTTCGAGGCGCCAGAGATCCGAGCTGGCCCTCGAGGCGGCCACCGCCCGACCGCGCGGCACCGTGCGGCCGCGGAACGGCGCCATCACGCGCGCGCGCGCGTGCGAGGCCCTCACAGGTGGGCGCCCCAGGGGGCGCCCTGCTTCGAGAGCTCTGCGAAGTGGCTCCTTCGAGAGGGGACATGGCTCCATCAAAAGGCAAGGTATGGCGAGCCCACTCACGAACGCAGAGGAGGCGGAGGGACAGCAGCAGCAGGAGGAAAAGGAGTTATTCGAAGTGAAGAAGAGGGAGGAGGATGAGGAGGAGGAGGAGAAGGAGGAGGAGGAGGAGGAGGAAAAGGAGGAGGAGGAGGACAAAGGAGGAGGCGGGAGGAAGGCGGAGGAGGGAGGAGCCTGCTGCTCCTCCTAAGCATACACACCCTCTGCTCTCACTCCTCCAGCTCCTCCACTTCCTCTTCCTCCTCTTCAACCTCTCCTCCTCCAACTCCTCCTCCGCCTCCTCCTCCTTCTCCTTCTCCTCCTCCTCTCCTCCTCCTCCTCCTCCTCCTCCTCTCTCCTCCTCCTCCTCCTCCTCCCTCCTCCTCCTCCTCCTCCTCCTCCTCTCTCCTCCTCCTCCTCCTCCTCTTCCTCCTCCTCCTCCTGCTCCACCTCTACTCATCCCCAACTCTCCCAAAGTATCGTCTGCACCTACGCTCCTCCTCCTCCTCCTCCTCCCCTCCTCTCTCTTCCTCCTCCTCCTCCTCCGCCTCCCCTCCTCCTCCTCCTCCTCCTCCTCCTCGTTTTCCTCCTCCTCCTCCTCCTCCTCCTCCTCCTCCTCCTCCTCCTCTCCTCTCCTCCTCCTCCTCTCCTCCTCCTCCTCCTCTCCTCCTCCTCCTCCTCCTCCTCGTCCAATTATCTTGCTTACATTATTGTCCACATCGTCCCCCTCCCCACACCTCCTCATCGACCCTCCTCCTTTGTCCTCCTCCTACCTCCTCCTCCTCCTCCTCCTCCTCCTCCTCCTCCTCCTCCTCCTCCTCCTCCTCCTCCTCTTCCTCCTCTCCCCTCCTCCTCCTCCTCCTCCTCCTCCTCCCTCCTCCTCCTCTCCTCCTCTCCTCTTCCTCCTCCTCCTCCTCCTCCTCCTCCTCCTCCTTCCTCCTCCTTCCTCCTCCTCCCCCTCCCCCTCCTGCCCTTCCTCCCCCTCCTCCTCCTCCTCCTCCTCCTCCTCCTCCTCCTCCTCCTCCTCCTCCTCCTCCTCCTCCTCCTCCTCCTCCCCCAACTCCTCCAACTCCTCCAACTCCTCCTCCTCCCCCCCTTTATTCGCCACCCCGGTCCTGGCGGCCCACAAATTGGCGGCCACAGCGGCGGAGTGTATCTGCGGGTCGGACACCACCACCATGACGAAGCTGTGCTGCAGGAAGGGCTCGATCGTCGCCGAGAAAAGCGAATTCTTCACCTCGGCGGCAGAAGAAGCCCGCACGCACCGTGTGCGCGTGCGCGCGTACCCCGCTCAAAGGAACTCAGCGACCTCACGCGGTTGCTTGCTCCCAGTGCTAGGTGGGGGCACCTTGCTCACCTGATCTCTGGCGACTTGAAAATAACATAATATCGCAGGCTTGAGATGTTTATCCATATTCGGCGTCTGTGAAGTGATCTGAAATCGCGCTGCCCTTTCGCGAGCGAGTCAGAATTGCTTCACGCGTTTCAGCGGCACTGGAGAAGTGCGGCGCTGGAGTGCTATCGGAGTGCGCACATTGAGATCTCATTCAGGTCTCTCGAGAAATTGTTTATGGGCTGCCACGCGCCGACGACGCAGCGCCATCTTGACGCGGCGCTGCGTTGGAACACGGCTCGGACAGCGGGGAAGCACTTCCACGAAGGCATCTAAGCAGAGGTTGGCCTTGATCTGCTGGTGGCGGCTGCCACTGATGCGAGCGAGGCCAACGGCGTGGCCGAGGGAAGGGTTCAGGTGTCGGCCACTCCCATCGAGCTGGCCAGCACCGAGGAGACCGGTCACGATGGCTTGCAGAACAACAGCGTGCTGATCTGCCGCCGCTGTGCCTCGGATGTCACGAGGCCAGCCTTCCTTCGGGCCAGCCAGGGGCGCACAACAACTCAACGGCTTCTGAAGGAGGCGGAGGAGGAGGAAGAGAAGGAAGAGCAGGAGGAGGAGGAGGAGGAAGAGGAGGATGTTGCAGGATGTTGCAGGCCTGATATCCGCAGTTGCGAGGCACGCACCTCGGCGACGATTGAAGCCTCACTCAC